ACTTAAACAAGATGGGTCCTACACAGATGACAGCAAGGAATGAGTGAGCTACTCAAGTCCCAATATGACTCAGTTTTTAGCAAGCCGCTAACCAGACTGAGAGTCGAAGATCAAAATAAATTTTTTATGAGAGCCACAAAATTTGGTTAACACAAGTCTATCCGATGTTATCCTGACGCCAAATGACTTCGAACAGGCGATAAATGACATGCCCATGCACTCTGCCCCAGGGGCAGACTCATGGAACTCCGTGTTCATCAAGAACTGCAAGAAGCCCCTATCACGAGCCTTTTCCATCCTATGGAGAGGGAGCATGAACACGGGGGTCGTCCACAGTTACTAAAAAACAACAGACATAGCCCCACCCCACAAAGGGGGCAGTAAAGCAACAGCAAAGAACTACAGACCGATAGCACTAACATCCCATATCATAAAAATCTTTGAAAGGGTCCTAAGAAGCAAGATCACCACCCATCTAGAAACCCATCAGTTACACAACCCAGGGCAAGATGGGTTTAGAACAGGTCGCTCCTGTCTGTCTCAACTATTGGATCACTACGACAAGGTCCTAAATGCACTAGAAGATAAAAAGAATGCAGATGTAATATATACAGACTTTGTAAAAGCCTTCGACAAGTGTGACCATGGCGTAATAGCGCACAAAATGCGTGCTAAAGGAATAACAGGAAAAGTCGGTCGATGGATCTATAATTTCCTCACTAACAGAACACAGAGAGTAGTCGTCAACAGAGTAAAGTCCGAGGCAGCTACGGTGAAAAGCTCTGTTCCACAAGGCACAGTACTCGCTCCCATCTTGTTCCTTATCCTCATATCCGACATAGACAAGGATGTCAGCCACAGCACCGTGTCTTCCTTTGCAGATGACACCCGAATCTGCATGACAGTGTCTTCCATTGCAGACACTGCAAGGCTCCAGGCGGACATCAACCGAATCTTTCAGTGGGCTGCAGAAAACAATATGAAGTTCAACAATGAGAAATTTCAATTACTCAGATATGGTAAACACGAGGAAATTAAATCTTCATCAGAGTTCAAAACAAATTCTGGCCACAAAATAGAGCGAAACACCAACGTCAAAGACCTGGGAGTGATCATGTCGGAGGATCTCACCTTCAAGGACCATAACATTGTATCAATCGCATCTGCTAGAAAAATGACAGGATGGATAATGAGAACCTTCAAAACTAGGGATGCCAAGCCCATGATGACACTCTTCAGGTCACTTGTTCTCTCTAGGCTGGAATATTGCTGCACACTAACAGTACCTTTCAAGGCAGGTGAAATTGCTGACTTAGAAAATGTACAGAGAGCCTTCACGGCGCGCATAACGGAGATAAAACACCTCAATTACTGGGAGCGCTTGAGGTTCCTAAAACTGTATTCCCTGGAACGCAGGCGGGAGAGATACATGATTATATACACCTGGAAAATCCTAGATGGACTAGTACCGAACTTGCACACGAAAATCACTCACTACGAAAGCAAAAGACTTGGCGGACGATGCAACATCCCCCCAATGAAAAGCAGGGGTGTCACTAGCACGTTAAGAGACCATACAATAAGTGTCAGGGGCCCGAGACTGTTCAACTGCCTCCCAGCATACATAAGGGGGATTACCAACAGACCCCTGGCAGTCTTCAAGCTGGCACTGGACAAGCACCTAAAGTCGGTTCCTGACCAGCCGGGCTGTGGCTCGTACGTTGGTTTGCGTGCAGCCAGCAGCAACAGCCTGGTTGATCAGGCTCTGATCCACCAGGAGGCCTGGTCACAGACCGGGCCGCGGGGACGTTGACCCCCGGAACTCTCTCCAGGTAAACTCCAGGTATTAAATTATTGTAAACTTATCTAAAATATATTTAGTTGGATCAGGCTAAATTAATTTGCGCTTGTTATAATAAGGTTAGGTAAGTTTTCTAAGGTTGTTTTGATACAAAATTATTAATTTTCACATTAACATAAATGAAAAGTATATCTTTAAACGTATAAGAGAAAAATTTGGAAAGGACTGAATTTTAAACGAATTCTTGCTAACTAACCAATTTTACCTATTCGGCAACCCCCACACACACATTATATATATATATATATATATATATATATTATATATATATATATATATATATATATATATATATATTATATATATATATATATTATTATATATAATATATATATAATATATATATAATATATATATATATATATATATATATATATATATATATATATATATATATATTATATATTCTATCCTCTCTCATTCTTTGAAAAGATGTTTTTTTTTTAATGACCGTTCTGATTCCCTGTCGACTTCCTGAAAATCGTGGCATAATAAGAGAAGTCTTGGGTATCCTAAGGAGATTTGAAAGTTTCACATCGTTAATGGCATTATTAATAATAAGTTCTCTGCGGGTAAAGTTTATAGATATGTAAAAATTAGATAATAAAGCTAGAGAAAATGCTTTTGCTTACATGCAAAAGCTTTTGTTGTTAAAACAGTTTATTTCGAGAATTAGAGATGCAAGTCATATTCATAGGCTTACTAGCTATGTTTTTAATTTAAGATAAGATTTTGTCCTGGTCCTCACAGTCTTGTCCCTCAGGATGCGACCCACACCAGTCGACTAACACTCAAGTACTTACTTGCTAGGTGAACGGCACAACAGGTGTAAGGAGACGCTCCTAATGCTTCACCCCTGCCGGGAATCGAACCCGGACACTCGGCGTGTGAAGCGAGAGCTTTGCCAGCCAGGCCAAACTATATTAATCTACCAAAGACGAATATAACTTTACCATAGCTTAGACACGAAATGGGGTTCATTCTAAGATTAAGATAATCTTTGTTTTGTGTGGGGTGTCTTCTTCACTCGCTCTTGACTTCTCTTCAGTTGCTCCCTTTGTATATACATCTAACATCTAACTTTTATCTTTTTCCTTGGGACGATCCGACATTTAGTATCTGTTTTTCCCCACTGCCTTGCACTAAAACTCAAATACCTACAGTGGCTTCTCGTTTCGTTTTTCTTAACCACTTCTGGTCTCATTCTCGGGCCGTAGCAGTTTATGCTGATGGGTTGAAATCCTCTGACGGTGTCGGGTTTACAGCATTGTTCCCGGACAATGTTTGTACAAGGTCATTTATTCGACTCGGCTGGGATCTTCATAGCTGAACCGTATACAATTCTCAGAGATTATCCGTATTGCGTCCAGGCCTACTTCATCGTTTGTGGTAGTCTCGGACTCTTTGTAGTGCTTTACAAACTATTAAAAATTTAATTTGTCTCATCCCCCCTAATTCTTCGTATACAAAAGCAAACACAAAAATCGATGTTTGCTGGGTCCCTGGTCATGTTGATGTTCAGAGCAACGAACAGACAGACTTGTGCGTGATCAGAGGTACACGACCTTCCAGTTTCATATAGAGGTATTCCATTCTCAGATTATTTTCGTTGTAATCTTAGGCCATCTTCGCATCCGTTAGCAACAACGTTGGTCTGAACTGATTCATAACAAATTACGCTGTATCAAGCCGAATTTAAGATCTTGGTCCTATCATCGATGTCGTTGTTGGGAGGCTACGCTTGCCCTTCAGAGTGCCTGATCAACCTGTTTGTGCTCTTGGGTTACAGTATGCAAAAAAAATTAAATGCCATGAATATACTATAGGCATTTTCCAGTAGGACAGGTTGTGCATTTTTCATTAGCATCAGTGGAGGTATTTAGATGAATTTGCTTCTGTTCATATGTATAGCTGTCATTGTAAAAAAACAATCGGCTAACTAACTATAAATAAAAAAATATGATTATTTAGAATAAAATCCATGAAACGTTGAAGTATTCCATAATAAATGTACCGGATAAATGGCGAAGGATTAGGCTTCAGTGATAATGGCTGGATATTCTGAAAAAGGATGGGACGCTTTAAAACTGAAAACTTACAAGGTAATATGGATTTAAATTTACAGAGAAACTACATAAAGTTTATTATACCACAAGGCACCCATACCTACAATTCAAAGCAAAAATTAGTACCAGATTGTAAAATTATGCTTCTGGACGGAGTCATTTCATATTTTATACTCGAGTATTGATTTATTTAAGTAACCACATAAGACATTTTTATGATTTTGCTGATTATGAATGAACATTCTCCAGTATTATATTGCACAACATCAAAAACTCCTATGAACTACTATATGATATATTTACTTCATTACAGTGAATTTAAGCAGCAGATGTAAACGTTACATGCTCAGATAGGTTTTGGTGAACTTAATTAATATATTTTGCTATAAGCGTTCTTAACAAATTGAATCTGGTTGACGCGATTAAGGCAAATTTCGACAATGCCAGTGTTCAAAATGAAGTATTGTCAATAAAACTGTTTTATGAGACTTTATCAATATAAACAAGACATGGATGTGAGTCGAGGAAGAAAAATCACGAAATAAATTGCATATAGGAATGTTGGTGGATATTGTGTAAGTCATTTTGGCAGTTTCCTGGCATATTAAAATTGATAATCATGTTAACCGGGAAGATGCTTTCATTACATGTATAACAGCTTTTCCATCAACGTGCAAAATTATAGATTGGATTGTTACTGCATCACAACCAATTTCTCAGCTCATAAGACAGTGAAATCCTGACGTTATTATTTTGGCCTTGAGGTCACGTGCTTGTGCTTCATTCTCAGTTCTTGTTATCCGATTTTATATAAAGCAACATCTGTACGCTTTTAGTTTCTTGAAGAGGTTTTTCACTGTGAAGTCAGGTATTATCTTTTTTTGTGTTTTGTTAAAGTTGGTTCATTTGTACCAGTGACTTAGTTTAGCTCTTCCCATGAATATAGTTCTTTAGTGTCGTTTCTTTGCAATAATTTAAGAATGTCTCTTTGAATCAGCCTCAAACTTCCAAGTCTTGTATATCTTCCTAATATGAAAGCCGGTATTGCCATATTTTTTTTTAGAACAGGGTATCTTTCTTTGTCTTCTAGAGTATTATAGCATTATTGACTCATACGGGTCTAGCTTTTTTTTATTATAATTATTTTAGAATGATAACGAATAGGCATTACTACACTAAACATGCTACACCTCTGGCTCCACCTTATACTCTGTGTAGTCTTGAACTGAGAGTAGGGTGCAAGTTTTTAACTTGTTCTTCACTGTTTTCATACCTATTTGTCACCTTGATGCTTCGGCCATCAGGGTACACATTATTTATATTTATGCCATTTATTTTTATTTTTGTATATCTGATAAATACTTTAGGATAATTATTTTTAATATGTCATGTGGATAGCCCAACCTAATGTGTAGATATCCACTACAAATTACCTATATGTTAATCGTGATTTTAGGCATTTTTATTTGCTTTCTTTGCTATGAGGAGAGTTGGATATAGATACAATGTGCAGAATGGGCTTTTATTGAGACTATGTTTCAGTTAAGTTTCAGTTAAAAGCTTGTCCTGCATATTGTCTTTATACCCGTACCTGTTAACATCCATGGGGGTTGTTTTAATATTTCTTATCCGACCTTGCAGATTCTTCTTTTGAGTAACATTATATACTTAATAGATTTGTGTATTTTTTTTAGCAATAAGTAAAAACTAATATAATTAATATTGCTAAAAAAGGTAGTTATATTTTTTAATTGTTAGCCGAACGACTTGCAATCTGAACACTGAACACTAACCAAGCCTAAGCCAGGCTTAGGCTTGGTTACAAGTACTTCCGGCAGTTTGGTAGATGCACAGATGATGATCACTAATGTGGTAAGTCTATGGTCACTTTCTTGAACACTAAATGCTTCATTGTCCACTTATTGAGGACTATAGAGATAGAGTGATAACCTATGCAATCTGTCAAGGTATCGTATGAAAAAAAATACTAGACATATTAAGCAAATATTATAAATTTGCTTACAACATATAAGATAGACAATATGTAGAAATTATATAGATATATTGCTCTTAAACCATTTCGAGCCTAGTTCCTCAGCCTTTTGTATATCCATATGCTCTTAGTCTACCACCCACAGGATGGATATGGGGCGCACAATAAACTAGCCACTTCGGTGGCAAAAATCTGAATCTTAGTGTTTAGTCAATATCTCGCAAATGGTCTTGCAAATACCTTTTGAAATTTTGTTGTGTTTCTGCTGATACACCTTGTACGTGTTGTGAATATTTGTTATTGCAGAATCTATGAAATTTACCTATTTATTTAATCTTTTACGGATAAGCTGAAAATATAATCACAGTATCTTACTATCATAAGGGCACGATATGAAAATTACTAAACAATTTGAAAACCTTGCAAATTATAAAAATACAGCCTAACTCAAACTTTTCTCGTGTAAGCTTAAGTTTTTTTTTCGGAGGGAAGGTTATTGGGGTCTGTAAAAACCTTTTTCGGTCACACAGTGACCTCGAATACATCTAGTTTATATATATATGTGTGTGAGAGTGTGTGTGTGTGTAATAACGAGCTGCATAGATATTCAAAATCCTACATCGAAACCTCCCATATCAAAGCCACCAACGTCGTAACCTCCGCCACCCATGTCGAAGCCGCCGCCCATGTCATAGCCACCACCCATATCGTAGCCGCCTATATCGATGCCACCCATGTCAAAGCCGCCACCCATATCATCCATTCCGCCCATGTTATACTCTGCTCCTACATCATACTCGCCTCCCACATCACCCATCCCACCCATCTCAAACGGTTGGCCCACATCCTCCATAGCGGCCATGTCACTCCCTCCTGTCTCATCAATTAGTCCGGGATCCACGCCGTCCGGGATCATCTCGGCGTCGGGTTCGGCTCCTCCGGGGTCAACAGCGCCTACGGTGGTGTCTCCCTGGTCTGCTGCTGTTGCTGCTGGGCCCGTGGTGTCGGGCGCAGCAGTGGTGGTTGTATCGATGTTGGCTGGAGTATCGTTAGCGGTCGTACTCCCGTTGTTGGTCGTGGTGCCGTTGGTAGTGTTGTAATTGTTGGTGATGTTGGTCTGCTGTTGGATGAAGAACAAACTGTATAGGACTCTTAAATTATTTAAAATAATTCGTATTGCATTAGTAGATGGTGAGGGGTGTATGGAAAACCAACATATAAAAGTGTTGGATAGATTGAATACAGGAAAAGATTCATAATAATTAAGGGTAAAAACTGGGGAGATTGTTACCCATTTGGTGCACAGTATATATTATGTCGAGTACAGGTGGTATGCAATACAGACACAGTGTAAGTAAAAGATACACAAGCAGAATGGAAACCTTTAATTGCAGATAATATTTCACATGGACACCAAGATTTATCAAATCTTTAGATACTACTTGGAAAGGCATGAAATATATAAGGCGAGAGAACCTTGAAGTCTGGCCACTCAGTTGGCCGAGCAGGTGGGCGAGAGGTTCAGTGAGTAAATTTGCCCAGTATGTATGATTATGTTTCTAGTGCTAATTAGCACTGATTCTAAGCCCCGCCACTGATCTGGTTTCCTCTGGTGTGTGATGCAACAAGGTTGTATTACGATGACTGGCACACACATTCAAAGTGCTGTTAGTGTCAAAGAATGGAACAAATGCCACTCTTTAACACCAACAGCACTTTGAATGTGTGTGCCAATCATCGTAATACAACATCTTCATCTTATAAAACGCGCCGAAGCCAATTCATTATTTCAAAAGAAAGTTCTTAGAATCATCCGTCATTCACTATACAAACATTATCAACCAGTATATGAGTAGCTTCCGGCTCGTTGAAACTCTAGCCCACCTCGGTCAACTGAGTAAACCTGCACTGCTACCCTATACATTTCATACCTTTCCAGGTACTGTCTGTAACAGTTGATGAAGCTTAGTGCCCAAACAAAACTTCATTTGCTTATAAGAGTTTTCATACTACTTATTTGTCTTTTACTCTACAATTTGTTACAACGATCTCAGATCATCTATAACTAATTTCCCATCTATGCTGGAAAAGTTGAAATCTCCTAGTAGGAAGATGTTTGGGGCAGGAGTTGGGAGATTTTCCAGACAGTAGGCAATTTTCAAAAGCTGTTCCCGGAAATGCTGGGAAGTTGCATCTGTTGGCTTGTATACATATGTATATATATTAAGCAAATATCGCAAACCAAGCGATACAAGATGCAAATCATTCTACTCCCCCTGTGGTTGTTTTGCATGTAATATATATATATATATATATTATATATATATATATATATTATATATATATATATATATATATATATATATATATAATATATACATTAAATTATATATAATATATATTATATGCAAAACAACCACTCTGAAAGAATAGAGAAATTCCAAGCGCTTTCGTGACTACTCACATTATCAAGAACTATGAAAGTAAAGCATCAAGGAAGCTATATAAGGGGTCTGGCCAGCACCTCACTATCAGATCCCACAACAGTTATAACACCTGACGCGCGCCGACCCAACTTGGATAGGTCCTTTGCACAACTACACAAAATATTCTAACCCAAGAAAATTTAAAAATTATTAATTTGTCTAGTGTATTAAATTCTTCCCAAATCTATTAATTATAAACGGATCTTAATTTATATAAAACCAAAGGAAATATTCATTAAAATTATTGTCAAAACTGCTTTTTATGAAACAAGATTAAATTATATTCCTGTTGACCATGGACTTGCTTGATACTACTTTTACACTTTTTGAAAATCATTTGGATGGTTAAAATCTCTTACATGAATAAATAGAGCATTGGAATCTTGTCCAGTTCTAATGCTATATTTATGTTGTTTTAATCTTAGTTCGAGATTTTTACCAGTTTGACCGTAATAAACTTTATCGCAAATTTTACAAGGAATCTTATAGACACATCCATCAGCATTTTGGGGGGAATTCTTTATCAAAAGTTTTTTTTACTGTATCAAGATTTTTGAATACAACTTTAATATTAAAAGTCTTAAGAAGAGAAGGCATATCAACCAAGTTTTCATGGTAAGGGAGAACCAACATATTTTTAGTTGAATAAAGCTGGTTGTCCCTTTTTGGATTGTAAAAAGTATTTCTAGCAATTTTAAAAGATTTATCAATTACATTTCCTGGGTATTTTAAATCATTACCTATTTCATAAATTTTGGATATTTCCTCATCTATGAACTCAGGACTACAAATTCGTAAAGCTCTCAAAAACATTGATGAGAAAACAGACAGTTTGACTCTATCTTGATGCAAGGAATAATAGTGGACATAGGAACAGTTATTTGTAGGTTTTCTGTAAATTTTAAATTTGAATTCATTATTACCCTTAATAATTAAAACATCTAGAAAAGGCAATGAGTTATTTTCTTCAAACTCAACAGTAAAGTTTATAGAATGGGCTAAGCTATTTAATTTTCCAAGGAAATGGTGTATATCTACATTTTTGGGCATAAGACACAAAATATCATCAACATATCTGAACCATTTAGCTCTATTAGGGAGGATTGTGTTAAGCAACCTTGTTTCAAAAAATTCCATGTATAGGTTACTAAGAACAAGTGAAAGAGGATTTCCCATTGCCATACCAAACTTCTGAGTGTAAAACTTATCATTAAATACAAATTTTGCATCAACAATGCAAAGTTTAATAAGTTTAATGATAGTAGGAACTGGCAATGGTAAATCGTAGTTAACGAGTTCTTCAGATAAGAAACTTACTAAATCATCAACAGGAACTTTCGTAAACAAAGAAGTAACATCAAAACTAACCATGTTAAAATCATTTAAGTCAGTCAAGGAGCTTAATTTATCAACCAAGTCTATGTTGTTTTTAACATTAAAGTTAGAAATTTTGCCAACAATAGGGCTCAAAATATCAACAAGCCATTTGGATAATTTATATGAAACTGACCCTATGGAGCTAATAATTGGTCTGACTGGATTCCCTGGTTTGTGTGTTTTTATTAGTCCATACATGTAAGGTAAAGATGGATTAGTGGAAGTAAATTGTTTGACTAATTCATCTTTGCCTTTCAGTAGAAGTTTTATTGTTTTATTGAAATTGCTGTTAACGGTTTCTAGGGGATTTTTCCTAAGTTTAGAATAGGTTTCAGTAAAAAAACTTTTGATAAAGAATTCCCCCCAAAATGCTGATGGATGTGTCTATAAGATTCCTTGTAAAATTTGCGATAAAGTTTATTACGGTCAAACTGGTAAAAATCTCGAACTAAGATTAAAACAACATAAATATAGCATTAGAACTGGACAAGATTCCAATGCTCTATTTATTCATGTAAGAGATTTTAACCATCCAATTGATTTTCAAAAAGTTGAGAAAGTAGTATCAAGCAAGTCCATGGTCGACAGGAATCTAATTGAATCTTGTTTCATAAAAAGCAGTTTTGACAATAATATGAATATTTCCTTTGGTTTATATAAATTAGATCCATTTATAATTAATAGAATTTGGGAAGAATTTAATACACTAGAGTGACTAGACAAATAATAATTTTTAAATTTTCTTGGGTAGAATAGTTTGTGGGTGAGTTGTGCAAAGGACCTATCCAAGTTGGGTCGGCACGCGTCAGGTGTTTAACCGTTGTGGGATCTGATAGTGAGGTGCTGGCCAGACCCCTTATATAGCTTCCTTGGATGCTTTACTTTCATAGTTCCTTGATAATGTGAGTAGTCACGAAAGCGCTTGGAATTTCTCTATTCTTTCAGAGTGGTTGTTTTGCATATTCTGAAATCACCTGTTTACTGTGATCTTATTGCATATATATATATATAATATATATATATATATATATATATATATATATATTATATATATATATATATATATATATATATATATATATATATATATATATAATATTATATATAACATTTTATGGTGGTGATTGTAGCTACATTATTACGTCGCTTCAAGGGAAAGACGTGCCTTGATGATTTAATAAACCGGAGCTACTCTCCCTTGAGTCAAATCGTATTACCTCCATGTCCTCCCTTGTGTTGTATGATTACTAGTTTAGCGTTTCATCATCAATATAATATGATACTTAATTATACATTATCATGTGTTTGACATAAACGAGAACATTTTACAATTTGAGGGCATCATCATTCCTCTTAGGGTGAAGTACTCAGAAGTCTTACTTGGGTGGTGGTGTTTCCAGTACCGAAGCCGGGGTATGCGTACCCAATACGGATCGGGACGCCCAGACCTAGCCCAACCCCCCAGCCACCGGCCATGGCTGCGCCCATCAGCATCCCAGCGCCGAAATCTCCATTGTCGCGGCGGTCCAGGATGATGGGTCCTCCACCGCCATACACTGCCGCTCCACCTGGTCCTCCACCGTAACCTGGTCCTCCGCCGTAACCAGGTCCTCCACCGTAACCAGGTCCACCGTAACCAGGTCCTCCACTGTAACCAGGTCCTCCACCGTAACCTCCTCTTCCACTGTATCCTCCTCTTCCACCGTACCCTCCTGTTGGATACCCTCTACCTCCTCCACCTCCAGGATCTGAAGCGAGAGAATCTATTAATCAGTAAAAGCCTTAGATAGTATACCAACACAATAATACTGGTAAATGATATCACTTAGCGCTAACCTCCAGAATGTAACGTAATGTAACGTAAATATTGCGATTTATTTTCAAGGAAAGAAAAATAGATAAAGATCTTCAGCGACTCAATAGGTAGCAGTCAACGTTCCCGGACCTTCGAAATCTAAATCCTTCAAGGAAGGGGGTGATATATCTTGATGCTGGTGAAGGGCTCTTGATTTAAAAATATGGAGCTACCCTTCCCTACTTTGGATCAAACACGATTTCCTCTCATTCCTTAGGCGCTGTTTGACTCGTACGGGTTTAATTCCCCGTGAATATATTAACAATAATGAAATCGTAGTTTTTGTTATATTCTTTATTATACTTCCTTGTACTAGGTTGCAGTAGTACCGAGAAAGATTGTAATTACAGTGTCTTTGTAGTGTAAAATATAGGAAATATTTATTTTGTCCTTCATTCTCAGTAAATTGTTTGATCTGTGTCCATATGCTCTTATAAATTATTTTTCCACTTTGAGGCTGAATATTACAAGAGCAGTCCCTAATGGCATTTTTTTTAGGTCATCGATATTCATTAGCCACAGCAAGGTAATCCTACAATGCCACGAGTAAACTATCACGTGGTGACAAAGCTTGGAAGTGGCCATGCCATGGCTAAATATCCGCTGGCTTACCTCATCTACATTACGACAGCTCTCGTCGTCTTCGATTCGAAAAAATACCTCATCTACATTTTATGCCCCATTTAAGAAACAAAGGTCATTACATAGAGGTGTATCCTAAGATGTGTTTGGAGGGAGAATTATGACAGAGCTACTTACTATATGGAGGGGCAGTAGGTGCTGAGTTGTAAGGTGGTGGTGGCTCCAGCTTCAGTTCCTCACTTGGAGGCAGTTTAGGCAGCTCAGGTGGCGGGGGCAGCTGCACACGCCAAGAAAATCAACACATTATTTCATTTAATGATTTAAGATTATTTTGAATTTGCTGTGGGGAGGGGGTGTTATATTAACATTAATATTTGACAAACAGCTTACGGGAAACACGTAAAAATGTCTATGGTACAGCATTAGTGTGATCTATAATGTTTAAATGTTTAATTTGATTTACAATTAAAGAATAAAAATATGAAAATGTAAAACGATTATGAAAAATACTGTATATATATACATATATAGAATTGATAAATTAGACACATGTGCAACTCTTGGGTATCTTTATTAAGGAAACGTTTCGCCACACAGTTGCTTCATCAGTCCATACACAGGAGAAGCTTGAAGAACAGGAGGAGAATGAGGTAATCAGTCCCTCAACCTTGAGTCGATGTGGTCAGTCCAATCTTGAGTAGGATACGGCATATCAGCGGAGAAGCAGCTTATAAACCGTAGGTAGGAGAGGTGCAGCAGTCATAGGTGGTGTCACATTTGCCCAATGTGGAAGTAGGTCGTGCCCAAGGGTTAGGCAAGGGAAGAATTCCCAAGTATTAAGATCCCAAGAAGTTGCAGTGTCTGACAGGATTGTAGATGACTGGTTGTGTTAACCAGTTATCTACAATATATAGAATTGAGAAATAACACTCGTATCATTTACAGTACAAACCCTATATCTAGGAGGGCTCTTGATCTGAGGAAATGAAGCTACCTACCCCTTCCTCAGGGTTAACTTGAATGCCTTTCATTCCCCAGACGCTGTATAGCCCTTACGTACTTAGCGCTTCCCCATGAATATAAAATTAATGAACGTTGAGGAGCACAATACTCACTGTGTTACTGATGGCTGTCATCCACTGGCTGAGTGAGGCACAAAGAAAAAATACGTCAGTAATAGATTCCCAGGCATCGCAATAGTACGTAAAACAAAAAAAATCATGACATGTAATTAACGAGTCTCGATCTTCCTGCTAATGGCGGCGCGCTCCTCAGTGATAATGAAGTTAAATATTGTATCAACACCGTAAATAAACATAATAACAATAATAATAATAATAAAAGGTTATGTACACTGATATGTCTCTCTACAGTCTACAAACACACACTTGCATCTCCCAGCCCCCACTCTCACCGTACAAGTTGTCACTGGGCTTCTCTCCGCCTCTCCTCTGATCCTACAAGTTGTCACGGCTTCTCTCCGCCTCTGATCCTACAAGTTGTCACTGGGCTTCTCTCCGCCTCTCCTCTGATCCTACAGGTTGTCACTGGGCTTCTCTCCGCCTCTCCTCTAATCCTAAAAGTTGTCACTGGGCTTCTCTCCGCCTCTCCTCTAATCCTAAAAGTTGTCACTGGGCTTCTCTCCGCCTCTCCTCTAATCCTAAAAGTTGTCACTTGGTTTCTCTCCTCTGATCCTACAAGTTGTCCCTTGGCTTCTCTCCGCCTCTCCTCTGATCCTACAAGTTGTCACTTGGCTTCTCTCCGCCTCCCCTCTGATCGCACAAGTTACCACTTTCTCTCAGCTTTCAGTGTTGTACACGCACTTAAGGTCGTCAGCGTTCTGGCAGATGAACCAGTGCATTCTGTCCTTTGTCTTGTTGCCGAACACCACCATGTTGTTGGGGTCAGTGCCTTTGGGCAGCTCAGGGCGACCTGGAACGTAACAGGCGAAGGGACCAGCTGCCATCATCTCCGGCGCCTCCTGTAACAACCAGTGACCATCAGTATGTGATCATAAGCGTGGTGTTAAGGGAAGGGGTGGGCAGTATGTAACAACGGGGGATGGTTTTAAGGGGAGGGAAGGTCAGTATGTAACAACGGGGCATGGTTTTAAGGGGAGGGAAGGTCAGTATGTAACAACGGGGGATGGTTTTAAGGGGAGAGAAGGTCAGTATGTAACAACGGGGGATGGTTTTAAGGGGAGGGAAGGTCAGTATGTAACAACAGGGGATGGTTTTAAGGGGAGGGAAGGTCAGTATGTAACAACGGGGGATGGTTTTAAGGGGAGGGAAGGTCAGTATATAACAACAGGGGATGGATTTAAGGGGAGGGAAGGTCAGTATGTAACAACGGGAGTGGTGTAACGAGGAAGAATGGGGAGGGTCATTTCTCTATACCTCACTAAGGAATTTGTGCTTGGGGGATCAACCCCCCACCTGTGTTCCTGTGCTGAGCGTTTTATTCATGTTCATAGTTTTTATTTACGTAATTTTATCTTTGTTTTTAATGTGTGTATATTTTTTATCTTTGATTTAAATGTGTGTAATGTATATTATTATTTTACTGATACGAGCGCTGAGTGACCTTCGTGGCTGAGGTGCTCTGTACCACAGCTGCTACCACATACCTAGAAGTGCTCTGTACCACAGCTGCTACCACATACCTAGAAGTGCTCTGTACCACAGCTGCTACCACATACCTAGAAGAAGTGCTCTGTACCACAGCTGCTACCACATACCTAGAAGAAGTGCTCTGTACCACAGCTGCTACCACATACCTAGAAGTGCTCTGTACCACAGCTGCTACCACATACCTAGAAGAAGTGCTCTGTACCACAGCTGCTACCACATACCTAGAAGCTATCAGAACCATCATCAACTCAAATTTTAGGCAGCACACGATGCCCTTCTTCAAATCCCCAAACTTATTAAATATAAATGTCATATATACTTGCTACAGTTTATTCCATCTTGGAAACTTTACATAGTAATGGTGATGCTGACCTATGACACTTCCTGGACAACTGTAACACAACACACAGGCATCACAACTGATAGTCCTCGTGGTCGTCTGAACCTCTACAGAAAAAGGCAAATAAAATGGCCAAATGGAATAACTTATGAGATGACTAAAAAAATTAATTTAATGAATTCAAACAAAAAACTTAAAAAAGTGAGCCCCATGTATACAAACGAAACTAATTATTTTAGTAACTTTAAAATGGCATTAAATTTTTACTTTTTTTTTCAAGTTATAAATTACACCAAGTTCCGTATTTTTTAAATTTAATCATATCTCCAACCATTATTATATCATAACTGCAGCAGTGTTTGACCTGTGGGTTTAGAGCTTAGTTTTGATTGTAACAATAATACATCCCAACTTCACTGTTTAGTTTTTAATCCCCTTCATGTTAAAGTTCAAGTCTACATTAAATTTTTAATAGTTTTTATCAATGCTCAATTTTTAATAAAAGCTTGTATTACAGTATTAAGCAATTTTATATACACACGTCTAATATATATATATATATTATATATATATATATATATATATATATATATATATATATATATATATATATATATATATTCTTAATTTTAGTCTTCGTTTAAGACTGGTCGAAACAACTAATCTTAATTATACGCTTTACCTTAGATTTAGATTCTTTATTTTCAGTCACTATATACAAAATATACAATAATCAAAGTCCACAAGATGCACAACATTGTGGTCGAAACTTAATCTAGTTTAAAGAACTACATAGTTTGATTTATTTTATAAGGGCCTATAAATGACACTAGGTTACAACACCCTTCATTAGGTGTAAACAATTGTTAGTGTATGGTGGTAAAATGGTGAGTGGATGTTATGCATTGTAGAGCAGCTGGTGTAACTCTGATTAAGTATGATGTAGTTTCTTTGGAAACACAGTGGTCATTATTATATCCGGGCAAGAGTGGTGACAGGTGATGTATATCAGGAAAGAATGGTGACTGGTGATCGGTATCAGTTAGAGAGGTGACAGGTGATCAGTATCAGATAGGGTGGTGACAGGTGATCAGTATTAGACAGGGTGGTGACAGGTGATCAGTATTAGAAGGGTGGTGTACAGGTGTCATATCAACAGGGTGTGACCAGGTGATCAGTATCAGACAGGTGGTGACAGGTGATCAATATCAGACAGGGTGGTGACAGGTGATCAATATCAGACAGGGTGGTGACAGGTGATCAATATCAGACAGGGTGGGACAGGTGATCATACAGACATGGTGGTGACAGGTGATCAATATCATACGGGTGTGACAGCTTTGATCAGTATAGTAATGGTGGTGACAGGTGATCATTCAGACGGTGTGACAGGTGATCAGTATCAGAACAGGGTGGTGACAGGGATCAAATCAGAAGGGTCGGTGACAGGTGATCATATCAGACAGGGGGACAGGTGCAATATCAGATAGGTGGAAAGGTATCAGTATCTAAGGGTGGTGACAGGTGACAGTATCAGACAGGGTGGTACAGTTGATCGTATTAGACAGAGGTGTGACAGGTGATCAGTACAGACCTGGTGGTGACTGATCAGTAATAGACTTGGTGGTGACGGTGATCAATGTCAGACAGGGATGGGACAGTTATCAATTTAGACGGGTTTTCAGTGAACAGGTGAACAGTATTAGACAGTGTGGTGACAGGTGATCATATCAGACAGGGGTGGTGATAGGTGATCAGTAATCAGACAGGGTGGTTGACGGTGATCAGTATTAGACAGGGTGGTGAAGGTGATCATAATCATCAGGGTGGTGACGTTTCAGTATCAACAGGGTGTGACAGTGATCAATGTCAACAGGGTGGTGACAGGTGTATTATCAGATCAGTTTGTGACAGGTGATCAGTATTAGACAGGGCTGTGAAGGTGATCAGTATCAGCAGGGTGGTGCGTTCAGTATTAGACAGGGTGTGACAGGTGATCAATGTCAGAGGTGGTACATGGTGATCAGTATATGACGGGTGGTGACAGGTGATCATATAGACAGGTGGTGACAGGTGATCAGTATCAGACGGGTAGTGACTAGGTGATCATATATCGACAGGGTGGTCAGTGATCAGTATTAGACAGGGTGGTGACAGGGACAGTATAGACGGGTGGTGAAGTTGATCGTTATCAGACAGGTGGTGACAGTGTCTAATATTCAGATCAGTAGTGATACAGATGATCATATATCAGACAGGTATGACAGGTGATCAATACACAGGGTGGTGAAATGTGATCTAGTATAGACAGGGTGGTGACGTGATTTATTTTCAGACAGGGTGTGACAGGTGAAATATCAGCAGGGTGGTGACAGGTGATCACTATCAGTAGGGTGTGACAGGGACAATATCGACAGGGTGGTGCAGGTGTAACAATACGACAGGATGTGGAGTGTATCAGTTTAGACAGCGGTAGTGACAGGTGATCAATATCAGACAGGGTGGTGTCAGGGATCATACAGACAGGTTGTGCAGGTGATCATATCAGACGGGTGGTGACAGGTGATCATATCAGACAGGGTGGTGACAGGTGATCAAGTATCAGAAGGGTGGTGACAGGTGATCATATCAGACAGGGTGGTGGACAGGTGATCAATATCAGACAGGGTGGTGACAGGTGATCAATATCAGACAGGGTGGTGACAGGTGATCATATCAGACAGGGTGGTGACAGGTGATCAATATCAGACAGGGTGGTGACAGGTGATCAATATCAGACAGGGTGGTGACAGGTGATCAATATCAGACAGGGTGGTGACAGGTGATCAATATCAGACAGGGTGGTGACAGGTGATCAATATCAGACAGGGTGGTGACAGGTGATCAATATCAGACAGGGTGGTGACAGGTGATCAATATCAGACAGGGTGGTGACAGGTGATCAATATCAGACAGGGTGGTGACAGATGAACAGTATCAAGTAGGGTGGTGAAAGGTATTAAATATTGGAGGGGTAAGAGACGTAAATATATTTTCGGATAGTCATGGGTGATATATATTGATGTTTATTGACAACAACTGACAAATATTTGACAGGGTAGGGGTGGTATTTTGTCAGGAAAAATGTGAAAAAGTTCTTTATTCATTATTCATAACATTTGTTTTTATTCATAGTTAATAACTAATGTGTAAACAGTTAAGGAGGCCTGAGCTTATAAACTCTCGCTAGGTTGGTATAAAGGGAAGGTTACATAAATATAGTTCCTGTGATTAGGTAAGTATAGCTAGATGAAGAACCCCCATTAGCAATAAGTCACAAGGTTTTTCTTTATTGGGTTATCTTAGGTTAAATGTACATAGTATACTTTTCATGTGCCCTCAAGACCACAGTAAAAAAAATAATTGTATGATGTGTATATTAGACTTAAAAATTTGCAAGACTACAACTAGGCAAGTGCAAATAAATGATTACAACTAGGTTAGTGAGTATAACTGAGTACCTTAATGACGATAGCACCCAGGAGGTCAGACTCGTCATGAGTCTTGTACCACTCCAGAGTTGAGTCTTCGTGTAGCACCACCCATTCCTCGCGCCAGTTCGACCCCAAGAAGCGTTCTGTAAGGTGACACAATCAGTTAATGAGCTCTTATAGCGTCACATGTGTTACGGGGGGGGGTGGAACGTGATTCACCCTCAGGGACTTCGCCTGGCGCAGCTTTATGCGAAGACAGTCGTCGCAGAACAAGCTTTTATTGGGGGCAAAGCTTCGCTGTGTAGAGTTTTATGTGGTATTAAAAAGACACGTGAGCAAACACTAGGACATTTCAGAAAATGTTTCGGTCCTGGGACCTTGATCACGTCTAACACACAATTTGTCGGTATTAATTACCAAGGCTTAAACCAATTTTATGTAGAGCTCTACACAGAGCTAAATGTCCCAATAAATGCTTGCTCTGAAACGCATTTTCTACAATGTTGTTTGTTGAGAGTATGACACTAGGCTCGTGCTGTCTGATGATTCCTTGTTTCGTGGTGCTCTCTCACATTAACCTCAGTTTATTCTTATATGGCGTAATTCTTTTACCAAATACATTTCATGCTTATAATTTTTAACGAATATTTCACATTCCCTGAAAAGATAATGAAATAATAGCATTAATATTAAAAATGATAAAACTTTTCAGAATAGTATACAACTTGTGGAAAATACTGTGTATATTTTCCAGAAATACAGTAGTTATATGTAAATAGATGGCCATACTGTATTTAATAAAAATTTGTCATAAAAAATGGGAAGCTGTGCCTGCGCAGGACACTCGCCATTATTGTTTGAATTGAACAGAACGTTAGTGATTAATGTGAAGAATTTTCGTGCTCTAGAGGTTAAAATTGGGCTGACACCTCTCAAATAGGAGGCGAAATTGTTGGATGTGCATTCCTGCATAATTTGAGTATCAGGCGACAGGACAGGACAACTCCAGGAACCTCAGATAAGCTGTCTAATTTATGTTTAAATTCTGGCCAGTAAATTTTTCATAAATGTAGGTAAAAGGGGGGGTCCTGTACATGACACATTAATCTCCAGTCAAATTGGTGAGTGATATTAAGATATTTTCCTTCTGTTATATAAATGTGTTTATATATAATAATTTTTTAATTTAATATACAGTCAACAAATTTTTATTTACCAGAATTTCTGGTGATGTATCTTTTATTTATAATTAATAGGTCCAGAGCAACTTGTGGATATGACAGTGGTAGGTATCGAAGGGGGACATTTTTTGCGACCTAGGTGTCCCAAATTCCTACTTGTCTAACTAATAAATAATAATTATCTTTCTTCATTTACTGTTATGTACATAATGATACATTCAGATAAATGTAATTTTCCACACAACTTTTGTGATGAGTTTGTTGTTGTTGGAACTGTCTTCTAACATACCACTGTTATTGAGCTGTTTATTTGTGCGTTCGAGGAATTAGTTTTTTTTTATGCGGCTTCATCGTTTGTTATGAGGTGTGCAAGGACAGCAGAGGGAGCCTTGGTTAGTAAGCCTTTATTAGCGAACCTTTGTTAGCGAGCCTTTGTTATGCAACTGTTCGCTCACTGGTGAGCCTTTCAAGGGAAGAGGAAGCGGGGAAGCTTGGAAGGGAGGGGACGGGGGAAAGGAGGGATAGATGGGAAAAGAGGGAGAGAGGGGAAATATAAACAGGGAAGCAAGAGAAGGAAGGGAAAGATAGAAGGGGAGGGGAAAGAAGGATGGGAAAGAGAGATGAAGACGGGAAGGAGAAAGGAACAAGGGTAATATATAATCCCTATATTGATATCTTAGACATTCCATTTAGCCTGTACCACACAATATTGATGGATTGATCCAAGTCATCATCATCACTACCGTTTGGTTGACGCTGGAACGCCATAACCATGGCCACGGTTGACCCCGTTGTCACACCTCTAGTGACGGTGGTTAAGTGTTGTAGCCGAGCTGGTTAAACAGTCTGGATTTTTTATTTATTTATCAAAATTAGGTATATCACCGATGTGCTGCTACCATATTCTATATGATAGTTACACAGTAGGAGCATACGTTGTCTCCTCATGATGAATTTGACACCTGCGCAACATCTGGGTATCTTGCACTTGACATAATCTGCCAGGCAGCACCGAGCATTTTCACACTACTGCGGTTTGTTTGCAATCGTGTCATTACGATTTTATGAGTCATGATGAAATAGCTGTGATATTGGCCTGTACGTATACACAATAAGTAATAAGACACAATGAGCAAACCAAACCTGTTTAAAAAAAGCCTCTTACTGAGGGGAAACATTGTTTTTAATTAAATAAAAGTTTGCGTTTTATATATTGTATCTTACTCGTCGGCTTATTATTCCAAAACACCCTCCGTGGTATCACTACATTAATGGAATACAATACCATGGTAACTAAAACACCTGAACAACACCTAGATATCTTACTGACGAGATGTTTCGCCAACTATTACAATAGGTTGTGTTTCCACATCAATACAAAGGTTGTCATTACAAAGGCGTAGTGGCCTAGATAGTATGGTAATCGATTAGGTGGCATGGCTAAGAGGCTCTAATCTTCACCAGGGTGCTTGGGGGTAAGGGGTCACCTAAATATACAAATTGTCTACAATAAAACAGCATCAGTCACATTAAAGTCGAGGATAACAGTTGCAACGAGTACATCAACAGACACTTGAAGCTGACAGTCGGCGTCTTAATAAGTTCCACGAATATAATAAGAATAATAACATGTTTTTCGGTCTCTGCCCAGCTGTAACTGTATCTGGTGAAGAAGCTTCCTTGTCGAAGTAGAGGTGAGCATCTTGTGGCAGCTGGACTCTTGTTTCATATTAGAGGTGTGTATTGGCTGTGTATACAGCAACAACTATGACTGCATCCCACACCACTGTAAGTCGACTCACGAAATCGTAATGACACAATTGCAAACAAACCATACCAAGGGGTAACGCGTCAGTCCGGAGTTTCATGACTGATTGCGGGTTCTATCCCCTCCCGTGGTATGGTTTGTTTCATTGTAAGTTATATTCCACTCTGTCTAGTAGTCCATTGTCTTGTCATTTCTTCCAAATTCAGTCTCCCTCAGTATTCATGCTATTCTCTCTCAACTGTATCCCTTGAATTAGTGCGCTAAAGTATAATTCCATTCTTATACAGTAAATGTCACTTGATTATAATAACACTTAAGTAAATAATTAACAGTAAACCAGATCTGACATTTACTGTATAAGAATGCAGTTGTACTTTAGTAATAACCTTAAGTACACCAAAGGTGTACCTTTAATGTGCTAAAGGTACCTTGAGAATATATATCTTTCACACGGGAAGGGAGAAAAATCAGATAACCACTTAAAGGTCTGCCTTCATACAAGTTAATTTACAATACTTACTTTTGTATCTTGTTAAGAAGCCTTTCCGAACCGGTTTAGCCATGGCTGTGAAATAGGAAGAAATCTTTGGTTAATATTCAGTGTCGTGGGATTGTTCTAAGTAGTAACGACAATACTTATAGTGTTAGTTATAGCTATGGTAGTAACTAGGAGGATAAACATTCTTTCCAGACCCCTAGTTCCCCATATAAGCTGATCTAACTGAGATCAGGGACCTACAATTCCCCATGTATATAATGATAATCTTTCCTAGATTGCCACTTACAATAGTCGACTAACACTGCCACTACTAGGTGAAGAGGAGCAGGTGTAAGGGGACTTGACCATATGGTCAAGTCCCCTTACACCTACTGAGCTATTCCGGGAACTGAACGTGGGTCATTTGGGTTTTGAACCAATCCTTCTATCACAGAGCTACAGGAAAGGGTAGCCGAGGGTAAATGTTCGATTAGTTTTAAATATGTAGTGTAGAAGTGGAGCATGCAGGAAGTCGACCCCAAGCTAGTGGTTACTAAAAAATAATGGAATCAATGTTGGAACATGTCAGGCAAGCTCACCTAACATTGAGGTGATAAGCAATGTTGTACGCCTACAGAAACGTTGTTCCCGCTACAATCATCGTAAAAAGATAAGACAAAACTGAAATGTAACCAGTGTAAGCAAATATATATTTGTAAAAAACAATAAACTGAACTTGCATGTAAATATCTATATAAATTTGAACGTATTGTTAATGTTTCGACGACAGATTTGTCACCGCTCACGAGAGTTGTCATTGCCTGTGGGGCCAAGTATTCACTCGCTGATATGTTGATATCTTGTTGATGAAATTTGCGTAACTGTTCACACCGTTCACCTTGACACAGGTGACGGAAACGGTTGAGCACATGTTGGCCTAGTATTTACTAGGCCAATATGTACTCGACCATTCTAAGGTGGCTGCTACTGGATATTTTTTTTTAGGAAATCACATTAATGAATCAGAAAAACATTTCCGAACTCAGCTGGTTTCCGGCTATACACGTGAGAACGTGTTGAGCAGCGAGACAGCAGGACCCACGTATAAAAAATGATTCCAAGATCATCCCTCGCTCCCTGGTCTCTCAACAAGTCTAAATTCTAAAAGAAACACTACACTAATAAGTATTATTACAAAACACAGAACAATAAGGTGTGTACTGAATGTAAGTTGACGTTTGGAAAATTTGTCATTTTATGTGTTCGTAAGACAGAAAGAAAAGATCACCAATCATGCCAGTGCACAGTGTTTAACAGACTATTTTTTCACACTCATGTGACAGGTCGGTAATACTACCCTAAACAACCTACTGTCTCGCTACGAGTGATAATCTTGCAGATTTGAACGTTTCCTAGTTATATTCTAGAATCTCGTTACCTGTGGAAAATACTGTATATATTTTCCAGAAATTCAGTATTTATATGTAAATAGATGGCCATACTGTATTTAATAATATTTGTCATAGAAAACGGAAAGCCTGCGTCTGCGCAGACGAGACTCGTCATCTTGGTTTTGAATTGGATACAACGTTAATATAATGGGAAGAATTTTTCGTGCTCTAGAGGTTAAAATTGGATTGACACCTCTCAAATAGGAGGCGAAATTGTTGGATGTGCATTCCTGCATAACTTGAGATATCAGACGACTGGACAAGACAGCTCCAGGAACCTCAGATAAGCTCTCTAGATTTGTGTATAATTCTGGCCAGTGTTTTCATAAATTTAGTTAGTGAGGTTTTTCTGAGTATGATACAACTTAATATCCAGTCAAATTGGTGAGTGATATTAAGATATATTTTCCTTCTGTTATGTATATGTGAATTTATATATAATCATTTTTTAATATACAGTCCACAAATTTATATATTTACCAGTATTCCTGGTGTATGTATATTTCATTTAATTAATAGGTCCAGAGCAACTTGTGGTTATGACAGTGGTAGGTATCGAAGGGGGACATTTTTTTGCGACCTAGGTGTCCCAAATTTCTACTTGTCTATGTAACATTGATAAATAATAATTATCTTTGTTATCATTTACTGTTATGTACATAATTAGTTACATTCAGATAAATGCAATTTTCCACATTGCCAGATGCACTGCGACCGTTTTATTGACTTATTTTTGGTTTAATATACGTTTTTAATAGTTTAATTAAATCTAACCTAATTTAAATTTCAGAAAATAACATTCATATGTCCACGTGAAGAGTTAAGAAACTGACGTTGGGAACCTTGTAAGAAAATAAGCATAGCAAAATGGGGGTGAGATAGCTGGTGTGTTTCTGGTTGCTAAGTGAGTGTCTCCAGTGTGAGAAACAACCAGTAATCACAGACACCTCGCAGTTGTTAGTTATAATGTATGAGCACCTAGGCTTAATACCAGTCATCGGCATGATGTATAGGGTGGGTCTGCAAATAGTACGTGAGTGGCTACACACAGATGTATGCCCACACACAGATAATGTGTGCCCACACGCAGATAATGTGTGCCCACACGCAGGGTAATGTGGAGCAGTCACAATACCGCAGCTGCAACAATCTGCAACTTACCCACAAACTGGAAATATAAAGTTAACCACTTGAAACTGGTCCTAATCCAGCCGAAATTCAATACAAAAATACTTCCCCATTAAGATACACCAGCACTAAAGTGTTTGAAGCCGACCCGAAAAGGCATTCTATAGTTAATGAATGACCTCCTCCCATGGGAGACTTAGGTCTCGAGACACTCCCCAGATAGGGAGCCAAGGCCATGTCACCACTACTTGGAAAAGACCCGGGCCGGGAGAATACCGGCAAATAAGAAGAAAAAAAAAGAATGACAGTCAATATCACTATTTATTTAATAAAACCGAAAGATTGGGACTTATGCAGCCAATAATAAATGGAAGTTTGCTTTCTAGACAACATACAAGGGATGAAAATTTAAAACTGATCATTAGACGAATTCTCCAGTTATCGTATATTCCGACGATTCCAAGTTTATTTTTTAAATAATTTAGTATATTGACAAATTTTCCCACTACACATAATGAGTGCTATCGAGAATCGTCATCTGTTAAATATCGAAGCCGTTCAGAAGGGGCAGACTAATTTTTGTAACGTGATTTAAATGGAATAAAAATCCCACACTATTTTAAATGTAAAATTGGTAAATGTGCGTCTATAACTTCAGTTTCACTCTCCACCGTCGTCGAAGTTGGAGGCAAATTTTTATTTTTTAAAGTTTGAAGCCACGTATTAGTGGTGGCTTCTGAGTTACACTACATAACCCGCATATAGGAGAGAAGTTTATGACGACGTTTCGGTCCGACTTGGACCATTAACTAGTTAATGGTCCAAGTTTGCCAATGACACCAAAATAGACCGTCGAATTCATTCTGACGAGGACACTAGAGCGCTGCAGGAAGATCTAAACAGACTGATGCAATGGTTGGAAAAGTGGCAAATCTCGTTTAATATAGACAAATGCGAAGTTCTTAGCGTTGGAAAGAAAAATAGCCACGACACTTATAAACTAAGTAATGTAGATCTTAATATCTGCGAAAAAGATTTAGGAGTTCTGGTTAGCAGTAATGTAAAACCCAGGCAGCAGTGCGTAAGTGTTCGCAATAGAGCGAATAGAATTCTTGGCATCATATTAAGAAGTATAAATAACAGGAGTCTTCAGGTTATTCTACAACTCTATATATCGTTGATTATGCCTTATTTAAATTATGGTACACAATGCTGGTCACCGTATTACAGGATAGATGTAAATGCGATGGAAAACGTGCGAAGGAGGATGTCAAAGATGCTCCCACATATCAGAAATATTTCCTACGAGGATAGACTGAAGGCCCTGAATCTGCACTCTCTAGAAAGGCGTAGAATTAAGGGAGATATGATTGAGGTGTATAAATGGAAAACAAGAATAAATAAAGGGGATGTAACAGCGCACTAAAAGTATCTAACCAAGATAGGAATCGCAGTAATGGGTTCAAGTTGGAAAAAATTAAATTTAGAAACATAAACGAAAAGTTAGAAGGAAAAATCAGACAACCACTTACTGGTCCTCCTTCGTGGATAACTGCTTAACGTAGGTCTGGTAAGGTACCGAGCAGCAAGGGCGGTGACCCCTAGAATCGACTACTAGTAAATAATAATAGGTTGGAGGTTGTGGTCCGTCTTTCATACCACCATGTGGGTGTATGGCACCAGTCAGGACACCTGAGACTTGAGTGTACTCGTACTGCACCTTGCTGGTAGGGTCAAAATTGACACATAGTCCCACTGTTGTCCCTCGTCTTTTCACTCAGTGCTAGTGTGGTACACAATCAACTAGTGTCTAAGAGTGCCGGGGTGGCACACTAGCGACAGGTGTCACAGGAACACCTGTGTACTGTGTCTCCTAGCGTTATCCATACGGGTATAACGAGAATAATTTTTTGTATACTTGGTTTCACTAATTTAACAAGTTACCTTAATACGCTGGTTATAGTAGTGCTAGGACTATCTTGTGAAGAGTTGTGCATTATCTGTTGAACATGAACTACAATGTGAACAAGTCTTATGTTCTTATACTCTATATACATTTTACGTTATTGTATTCACTAGTTCAGTTTATTGTAAGTCTACACCCATCGTTTATATTAGTGTGTCCTTGATCTTGCAGCACTACTCTGTCCTTGATAAACACAGCCTATGGACACAGATCAAATTTATTCACATAACAGTATCATCCATGGTAGTAAAGTTCTAGTTAAGCATTTTTAAATGGTTTGTATCTATTGATGATATCATGATGTGACAGCTGAGAGTGGTAGCTGTGTCATAGTTACTGAATGTACCTCCTTAAATCGAGGTTCCTCGATGCTGTTTAGAGGCTTTTGATCTAATGAATTGTACCTATACTTCCCTACAATCGTATCTGAATGTCTCACATTACCCCAGGTACTATATAACCCCTACGAGTTTAGAGCTACCACATGAATGAAAATAATAATAATAATAATAATAATAATAATAATAATAATAATAATAATA